TAGGCTACTTTTTGTTATGGAGGCCGTTTTGGAGTTGTGCTAATTCATATTATTTCTAGCTTGATATAAAGCATGATTCGGAATCTTAACCCGTGTAAACACTATTATACCAGTATTATAACTACCTTGTACGGAAGGTATGTGTAATATGTAATGTCGATGACTTCCATTCAGGTGTTTGTCAATGCCGATGGGCAGAGTTTTGCTCGCATTTTCAAATTTTCACGATTGTTATCATTCAAATGTGAATAATCCAATCAAAACTAATGCCAAGTTGTATTATTTAGTAATAGTTTGCATATAATTAAATATTTCACATATTTGGTTGCAATTTGATATTTAACATAAAAGAATATTTTTGGAAACAAAAAGTTGTGATGTTTATGATCTCCTAACCTGTTTATGAAAACGTTTTCATGAAAAAAAATCGAAAAAATCATGAATATTTTTAGAAAAATGAGTCTGTACATTGAGCCGATTAGTTTGATATATCATATGATTGCTGATTACATTTAATATTTATTAAGCATTTGTTGACTGAAAACGCATGTTATACGCTTTTTTGACTAAATCGTGCAAATTACACTCGGATCATCCCAAAATGGTATGGATTTGCCCTGCAAATGGATCACGTAACGTCTATTGGGGTCTGTATTTTAAATTCCCGCTTTCGAACAGTGTAATGTTCAAAATGTAAATATAAATGGTCATAATTTGAAGATAAATACAGTGTCGTGTCGTAAAAATAGTGACAAAGCCGAAATACGTGCACACACTCGTACAAACGCAGTCGACTGAACGTGACAAATCCAGGTGCGGTTGACGCGTTGCTGGTCAGACACGTGACTTGTATATCAGTTTCACAACAGATCATATTTGACCTCAATATCTGAACAATTGCTCTCCACTCATGTATTGTACATTATGCTAATGAAGCTGTAGGAAGATGGTAACACAATTCATAACATCACTCGAAATATGTGTGACCCCCCCCCCTTTCCTAAAAAGGGAGATTAAAGCTATTTCAGTGTTTTTAAACAATCAATATGTTCTGTTACTGGGTGTGCCATTAAAACATGATTTCATCTGCACTTTTGAAACTTCATGATGTAACTAAAATTAGGAATTATGTATGTTATGATTTCAAACACCATGCAACTATAGTTGTAGGAAAAACAACATACCTAGGGGGTATGCATATGTATAAAAGGTCACCTGCTCTTCACAGCACATCACATTGTGGATATAAAAGATCAAATCAGATTTCGCGTTTGAGGGTATCTACAATTAGTAACACCATTGTTACCTCCATGGTAACACATTTAAAACTGGGAGTCGTGACCTGCGCATGCGTCAGATGACCATAGCGCGTCACTGTTTACAAACAAACGTCTACCCATGAGCCTTTGCGTTTTTAGCATATGTACTCAACAAAACATTTGGTGCCGGTTGTATGATAAAAACATGTATTACCAACTGCATATAAGTAATCTAAGTAACACACAAACACGATGTTTGATTTTGCAAAGGACAAAATAACCATTAAATTCGTGAAAATGGTGTACTGGCCAATGGATTCATTTTACTGCAATAATAAACATCGTTGCCGTGGTGATTGGAATATGGCCTCTTATTCGTCATGATGTTGGAACAGATTGACATAGTTATGGGACCGAATTCAAATATTCCCGATAATAATATAGCGTGCTTAGCAAGCAGAATAGTCGTTGAGGGGGGTTTGTCAACTAGAAAAATTACCTACGCCCCACCCTTAAGGCACTAAGTGAAATGGCATGTCCTC